CTGAGATATCAGAAATTTCAAAGATAATAAAAAATACCATACATGTATATAACTTTATGCTGACAATTTTGAAAATTTAGATGAAAATGAGAAATTCTTAAACACACACACACATATACAACTGGTTTACTAAAACTGGCTCAAGAAGCAATAGAAAACCTGAGTAGCTCTACAATAGTTAAAGAAATCAAATTAATAGTCTAATTTTTTTCTTAAAAGAAAGCACGAGGCTTGGGATAATTTTACAGAAAAATTCTTCCAAAACATCAACGAATAGATTATTCCAACCTTACGTAAATTCCTACAGAGGTGAAATAAGAGAGTTTTCAGAGGATATTGAAAAACTGGTTCTAAAACGTGTATAGAAGAGCAAAAGTCCAAGGTGGGCAGGGGAAGGTGAGAGTATTTGGCCTCCAGAAATCAATGCTCACTATGAAGTTATAGTAACAATTGGCATTGTGGATCTCTGGGGAAAAGAAAGGGATATTTGATTAGTGGTATTGGGATCATTGGAAACCCATATGGATACATACCTCACACCAGAATTAATAAAAATTAATTCCAGATGAATTAAAAATTTTAAAGTGAAAGCAAAACTTTAAAACTTTTCAGAAAACGTTCTCAGATGCATTCTCTTACACCTACATGTGAGAGCTTCTCTGTTTGCCGAGGACTGGGATCACTGGATCTCAAAATACAGGCACCCTTAATGTCACCAAGCCCTCCTACATTGCTCTCCAGAAGGCTGTACTAGTTTGACAACCCATCAGCAGTACATGAAGTTCCCAGTCTCCCCTCATCTGTACCAACACCTATCGTCATTCTGCTTTTTTCTTTTTGCCATTCTGATGGGTATAAAATGACATTGTCTTTTTTTTTTAAGATTATTAAAATATAGGTCCTTCCAGCTGGTCTAATAATTAAATCTACATGAGACAGATTAACAAAAAAAATAATAATCAAATTTAATTACACATGTACAAATGGGAACCCTACATACTTGAGAGAATCAGAGACCCCACATACGTGAGGGGTTCAGAGACAGACAGGAAAAATGGAGTATATATGAAATCCTGAGCTAAGGAATGAAGTTAGGCACCTGGGGCTTCAGAAGGGAGGAGAGTCATTCACTGATCAATGAGAAGATCAGCTGTTTGGTGATTACATGTTTGCCCTGCCCTAGAGATAGGCCACAAAAAGTTATTGCTGGTGATAACTTTTATTATGGACTTGGCCCCTAATTTGAATTCTTGAAGGGAGAAGTCCAAGTTTCTCTTGAGCCTGCAGGGTCTCGATTGCCGTCAACTGAAAATAATCCACGTGCCAAAGTAACACATCTTGGGGAGGCCTGTTCTGAACCCCTTCAGACTCCTCTTAGCCTCCTGCCATCTGGGAAGCTTTCTCCAACACGCCTAACACATCACTCCCTCCAGACAATTGGTTTTCAGTATTGCCACAGTACCTAATCGTGTGTTCTGGTATTTTCTACCTGTCTGTTGACTTGTCTGTCCCCTTCACTAAAGTCTGAGATCCTCAAAGGCAGGTACCAAGTCTCCATGACCTCTGATTCCCCAGTGCCCCTGCACAGAACCTGGCACACAGTATTCATTATAATATGAGCTAACACTTCTTGAGTGCTTACTATGGGCCAGTCACTGGCACATAGAGCTTTACATATATTCTCTCACTTGAGTTTTACAACAATCCTAGGAAGTACCATAGTATTCCAGTTTAGATGCCACAGCGTTGACAGAAACAAAACACAGGCAAGTTTAAGCAAGAAGTGAATGCATTGGCTCCATTAGAGGAAAGTCTAGAAGTGTGCCTTCAGGAATGGCTGGACCCAAATGCTCAGAGAAAATTCAGGGTTCTTTCCCTCTATCTCTGCTTCTCTCTACCTGGCTTCCCTTGGCAAGCAGGTTTTCTCTCTACCCAGAGGGCAAGCTAGCTGTTAGCAATAGTCACATCCTCTTAGCTTAGTAACCACAGCGGGAGAAAACAACATTGTTATCAGCTCAGCACAAGGTCTCTGACCGGCCATCTTGTGACAACTTCCTATAATACTACCAGGAAGTAAAAGCACAGTGATTGGCAGTGCACCAGGAGGTCTCCCCGAAAGGGGCCGAAAGAAAATAAGTGGGCAAACTTCCCGAGCAGAATAAGACTCTGGTTACCATGAGCGACCATAGGTAGGTGGGTTCCTTTGTATAAATGAGGAAAGGGGGCACAGTGGGATGAGCCAACTTGCCTCAGTTCCCAGCTGATTATAAGAGGATTTAAACTGGTGGTTCTGATGTCAAGGCCTGCGCCCCTTGCATTATACTAGCTCCCCATGCGTTCTCGGATGAGCGAGAGTCCAAGATTCAGGCAGAAACAAACTTGGGTTTGAGATTCACTTCTGATTTCCTTGAGCTCAAGTGTCCTCGTCAGTAAAATATGGACAGTAATACTGCCAGTATCTACCTCGTGGTGAGGATTATGTGAAATAACTCACATCGTGCATTTAGCGCAGGCCCTGGCATGTGGAAAGAGCTAAATAAGAGTGAGCTATTACTGTGAGTAACTGTTCACTGAACAAGTAAGTGAGTGAGGGGTATCTGAGCTGTAACATGGGGACTCTGGGGGTTTCTCCTCACACAGCAAAGAACTGGGAGTGGGGTGGGGAGGAGGGCTTTGGGCTCTTGCCAACCTCCACCACCACTAAAACGCCTTCCTTGGATAGTCTTATGCTTTGAGCTGGGCAATGAACTTTTCTTAATTTTATGTAGTGGAGATTAAAGCATGTTCAGAAAATGCTGTGAATATTAGTGATCTATAACTTAGCTCTGACAAGCTTCCAGGCCCTCCCTTCCAGATGGCCTCAAGCCCCTTCTGTAAGGAATTCTGGAACTACTGCTGGCTCCCAAGCTCCATACAGCTGGGTTTGCAAATGGGCGCTGTCCCCATTTATGATCATGTGCAGATAAAGAGCTCTGAAGGTGCCAAGGGCCATAACTTGCCTGGAGGTGATTCAAGTTTCCTGGCACTGGAGCCAAGGAGTCCAGCTCTGAGCCCGGGCAGGGTTAAGACAGGGCAGGTGACAGCAACAGGGCTGCTTATTGAGGTCTCTGACAGGCATGGCTGGCTAGCAGGGCACCATATCCCTCTTCCAAGTTGTAATTATACTTGTCCCCCAAGAGCTTTAGAATTATTCCCATGTGGAGCGGGCACATAAGGTCCTAGGACATCCTTAGCTGTCATTCCTGGAGACTTGGGGGTGGGGCCTTTGAAGTGTCTGGGCAATACAAGGGATAGAGGAGGCAGGGGAGCCTTCCCACGGGTTTCTCTGACAGCCCTGCCTCAGATCCCGGAAACTGCTATAGATGCCAAAGGTACAGATCCAGCAGGTGGGAGGAAGCCAGCTGCTTCTCTGAAGGCCCTGAAGGATGTGTATAAAGAAGGTGGGGAAATCTGAAGGGGAGTTAGGTAAGGGAGGAAAGGAGGAAATGAGGCAAACTTGGCCCAACTCCACAGAAGCCCAGCCGGGTCTCTGCGTGGCTGAGAGCTCCAGGCTGCAGGACACAGAGATGCTGGGCTGCAAAGCCCAGAGATGTCACCATGCAGGACACGGAGATGCTGCCTCATCTTCACCCGTCCTCTGCCCTTCCCCCTCCTGCTTCCCCACCCTCACCCAAGCCCTCAGAAAAGCCGCTGATTCACTCCTGCTTGCTAGGAGTTTGGGGAGCTTTGGATGCCTCTGGACACCCCAACTGTGTTCTGCCCTTCCTATGTAATTCTGGTCAAGTCACTTCATGACAATAATCCAGTTTGCATGGAGTCACAAAGGGTGCTCATGTCGTGACATCCCCAGATCCTCCAGCCACGTTCACTGTACACACATTATCTCACTCGATCCTAACGACAATTCTGTGAGATACTGTTAGTGCACCCATTTTACAGATGACGAAACTGAGGCTTTGAGAGGTGGTATTAACTTCCCAAGGTCTTATGCCTAATTAATGGCAGATCTGGAACTCAAACCAGGGTCTGCTAACTGCCAAAACTCTAACTCTTCTGTGATCCCAGGATGTAGAACAGAGATTACCACCATCCCCGCCGTGGAGATGAGGAAACTGGCTCAGAAAAATGAAGTTATACATGTAGAACATGGTGGAGCCAGGATGCAAACCCATTTCTTTTATCACCAGCCCAGTGCCTATGTTGCCTGAATAAATGATCTCAGAGGTTTCCTCCAGCTGAGATACCTTTTATTTTTTTTAAACTTTATTGGGGAACAGTGTGTTTTTTCAGGACCCATCAGCTCCAAGTCAAATAGTTGTCTTCAATCTAGTTGCAGGGGGCACAGCTCCTTGGCCCATGTGGGAATCGAACCGGCAGCCTTGTTGTTAAGAGCACCCGCTGTAACCAACTGAGTCACCCAGCCGCCCCTGAGATATTTTTTAATTCTGGGTTGAGACAGGGAACACTTGGAAGGAGAACGGGTGAAAATGACAAAATAACTTGGTGTTATTGTTGTGCGTCACACTTGATGACTCAGAAAGCCAGTGTGGTTGCCCCAGAACTGCCCTGTCAGCCTCATCCCTTCCCTCAGTGAAGGAGAGAAAAAGCCACTCAACAAACAGGGTTCGCAACCCTTGCAGCTTGGACTTCCTAGACCTCATGCTGACCCCCCCAGCAGCTTCTTTCCTGAGAAGTGTGGGTCCACAGTCCCCCGCCCCCCTCCACACACACACACACACACAGTGACACCTGTTCCCTGAGCCACTCACCTATCAGTGCAGAAGCAGTGAGAGTACTCCCCAAGGAAGAGTGTGAAACGCACATGGGCACAGTCACATCCTTCCACACTGGAACGCACACCACACCTTCTGACCCCAAACCAGGGGGAACGCCTCCTGCCAACCCGGCCAGGCCCAACAAACATCCCTGCAGGCTGGCACGTGGAAGCCTCCCACAGGGCCACACCCTGGGGGCGGAGCTGCTGTCCTGTGTGTCCCGGCCCAGCCTGTCAGGGAGCTCGCTTTTCGGCTGCTCCGCCGGGTCCCAGTCCAGCCTCACAGCGAGCGCCTGTTTCTTTCTGCTCCTCCGCCGCCGGCCCTGTGGGACTGACATGGCCCTAGAGCATCCCGCCTGCAACTTGGACGTCAAGCATGTCCAGCAGCTGGTGCTCTCCTCCCAAGAGGCCAAGAAGACTGCCTATTGCCCCTACAGTCGTTTCCCCGTGGGGGCTGCCCTCCTCACCGGGTCCGGGAGGATCTTCTCAGGTAAGGGCAAGGGCTGAGCCCCTCCCCCCACCCCCCTGTGACAGCCTGACAGGGGGCGGTCAGAGTAGCGATATGCTGGAAGAGCAGGAGGCACAGGCAGGGCGGACCGCAGTTCTGTCTCCTCTTGGCTGCCCCCCACCCCAATATCCCCGCCATTGGCCCCTGCTACCCTGCCTAGTGTCCCAGACGGTGGGGATGAAGGTGCTGCTCAAATCTAGGTGCTTTCAGTCCTTGGAGGACTGGAAAGCCGGTGGTGTGTTGGGGGAGAAAGTTGGAAGGGGAAGCCATCAATCAAAAGCATCAGCAGCTCTCTGTGCTGGAAGAGAGAGGGCTAGTCCTGTCTGAGTCTTCCTCTGGGTCCCTACCTGTTAAGGCTTTCGCAAGTTATATCAGCTCTGACCCACTGACCTAGGTATCATGCCCATTTCTCAATGAAGAAACTGAGGTCCAGGGAGGTGACATGACTTGCTCAAGATCACATGGGGCCCTGGAGGTGGAACGCAGGGCTGGGGTCCCCAAAACCCTTCTGTCATCCACCATGCTGGAGGATGGCTGGGGCAGAAAGGGAGGAATCCAGGTGGGGTGACTTGTTAGTGGGGTGCAGAGGGTCTTGGTGGAAAGAAGCCAGGTGGGGTTTGAGTGACCAGCAACAAATGCCAGCCTGGGGAGGTGGGGACAGGAATCTGAGTTGGCACTAATTTGTCCCTAAGCTCTTTGTCTTTGGTTTGTTGGTTTTATAGAAAAACTCGCTTGAACAAAAATTCAAACTTGTCTTGGCTAAACTAAGGGGCATTCTCTTTCAGGACAGTGGGGAAGGTGGTGTTGAAAGCACCAAATGAGTCTGCGGCTTGTGCTGCCTGAGCCGCTCAACCAACAGACCAACACAGGAGTTGAGCCATAGAAGAAGCATTTATTATCAGAGTGCAGGTCTGAGAAGGCGGCGGGTTAACACCTCCAAAAACTGCCTTAACATTCTCAGACCAGCCTGGGGTATTTAAGGGAAAATCTGGGCGTTCCTCCAGAGGCCACATAACGGTTCCTGGGTCCAGGGGTCTGCATGGAGCCTTCCCTCTGGCGATGCAGCTCTCCAATGTGGTCATCAACCCAGGAGCAGTGATG